TTTTTTTTTTGTTACCCGAACAGTTGGTCGCACAGGTGCGACCAAATATTAATTTTTAGTCGCACCACTGAAAAATTTGGTCGCATTTGCGACCAAATTGGTCGCACTCTAGAGCCCTGCATGATGACATGACCCAGTTTGGACCAAGCTTTAGCTGTCAGACAGGTGGCCACATATTTGACTCTAGAATACTTGCTTAGAATACTATACAGATGAGTTAATGGCAGACTTAACTGTAACTACAGCTGTGTTTTTTTGTTGTCATTTTGTTTCTTTTAGAAAATGAACTTAGAAGCCATACATGGAGCTAGATTTGAATAGCTGAATATTACATTAATTTCCAGTCCCAGGCACAACAATGTACAGGCACTCACGACACCATTTTTCCACACTGTTACCTCTTGAGCAGAGCAGGGCTCCGCTGGCCATGGCCACCTGCAGGGCTTGGGCCAGCCGGTCGAGGGCCAGCTGGGACAGTGCAAGTGTATCAGCGGAGGACGTGTGCGTGTGTTTGTCAGCCTGGTCCAAAAGTCGGGAAAGATCGGATGTCAGAGCAGCCAAGGACTCCATCTGAAGCAGTGCCAGGCGACCAAAAAGCCCCTTCTCGTTGAGTATGTTGGGCAAAAGCATTAAGACCTAAATAAGGAAGAAGGAGGAGATGGCTAATGACCTTCTCTGTGGACGTTGCAAGGGTTTACGTGTACAATGTGTGTTTTACTGAATGGATCTGAACACAAACACAAACCTGTAGAACACTTAAATGGAGTGCAGAGAAGAGAGGCCCTACTTCTGGCTCATTCTCAGAGCTTCCATTGGTCAGCGCCTGCTTCTTGTCTCTCCTATAGACCAGCGGTGCTTTTATGCACCAGCGCACCAAACCCCCTAACGGTGTGACATCAAGCGAGGTGATCGGTTGGCTGCCGGAAATGGGCGAGTTCAGGAAGGTGATCAGGACTAGATGAGGGTCATCTTGGATCCACGATACTATCATCTGGAGGAGTTCGAGTGGGGGGGTGAGCTCCTCTGAAAACACACACAAAAGTGTTAAATATCAGATCTTCCCCCAACGAACACAGGCGTGTCAGTCTTTTTTCAAACAGTTTCCATGTTTTTACATGCATTTTTTTTTTTTTTACCTGAAGTGAAGTCATAGAGAGTGGTGACAGCAGTGATGAACTGGCAGCAGAAGCGCGGGCTTGCACTGTGGATATTCTGCAAGGTGGGCACAGAGCCTGGGACCATACTGCAGTAATCATCTACCAGCACCTGCGCCAAGCGTACGCAGTACACACGATGGGTTCTCTGCACAGCACAAACATAATCAGAAGCCTACGATTAGTACATCCAAAGTACAGGGACACATACATGCAGTCCTTTCTTGACACATCAGGTCCAGACAGTGTCAGGAGAAAAACATAGACCTTAAAGCATCAAAGTTCCAACTGTGATAAGGGCTGGTGAAACTGGTCAAATTACACATGGGACCATCACTGAAGCAATACATCGTCCAGATGCAACAACGTCTGCTGTCAGGTATCAAAGTCTAGTGTAAGAACAGTTGTTGTGGTTGTGTTTTTTGTCATTTCTCCCTGACCTCATGATTTCACTACTAACAACACAGGACTGTGTGATTGAGTCCTCACCTGCAACCAGGTAGCAGCACATTCCAGGATAGGAACCCTGCCCACAGCGATAGCCATGGAGACCAATTTGCCCAGCAGTGCCATGCGGCTTTCATCTGCCTGGTTGCCTTGGAGATTAAAAAGGGCAGCAAACATAAGTTGACGGACAGCATCACGACTCTGCTCCTGAAAACAGCTACACATGATCTCCAACAGCTGGAGCTCCTGAAGAGCACTCATTCTCTGAAAGAAAAAACAAAACAAAACAAAAAAAACACACTTGAGTTATTGACTGATTTCTTTTGTGTGTTTACATATTATACATTGGTGCTTAAGCATTCTGGGGTCCCAGTTTACCCTGGCTGGGGTGTTTCTATCTTTGGGTGCATGTAGAATGAACTCCTCAACCAGCTCCAGGGTTTTTGAGTCAACCTGAGGAGGCTGCCTCCCAGACTGCACCAGGTTACAGATGTAAATGTCCAGGTGGTACAGCAGCTCCTTGGCTGCACTCAGCACATCCCGAGGCAGCAATGACTGACGGATGTCACCCATCTGTAACCTGACAGAGGTACATAAACAATGTGAAAGACGTTAAATATGATGATCAGAAGTGAAGTGTATTAATGAAAAGCCCATGGTAACAAGGCTGTATCTCTTCCATCTGTGAAAGTATTAAACGTTTTTAATTCATGAAGTAACAGTGGCTCTGCAGGCTTTAAACAACACTGCATGGTGGGCTGTTAAGATGTAGTAGACTTTTGTTTAAATCTTGACACACTGTGACATGTGCCACAGAAAGAAAACAACACAACAAACAAAGCACATTAGATGTAACAAAAACATTAGCTTGTTTTATCATCCAAAATGACGGAACAGTGATTTTTTTTTAAACTCTGGTTTCAAGTTAAATTATGCCTATGACTTTTGCCGTGTCTGTAGTGTCAATACTTTTGGAGTGGACCAGCTCCACACTGAGTCTCCTCAATGGTCTGCTCCATCCTGCTACAGCTAGTGTTAGCTGGCAGCTAACACTAGCTGTTTCCTTCGCTACAGAGCTTACGCGTTACAGTTAACCCGGCAGTATTCAAAAAGCAGGAGTTAAGCACTTACCTCAGCAAAAGCTCTTATTTCCTTTCAAAAATTAGCTGAAAACAGGACCACGAAAGGTCTCAAAAGACGACGGAACTGCTTCCTGCTACTACGGAAGCCTGTGTGGCACAAAAATGACAGCCATTGACGTTCAATCATTGTCTTCACGCATTAAATTAAATTAAATTAAATTAAATTAAATTAAATTAAATTAAATTAAATTAAATTAAATTAAATTAAATTAAATTATTTTTGTGTAAATTATTTTACCAAGCAAAAACCAGAAATATTTCACTCTCATAATTTTATCTTTAATTTTTAATTCCACATAATGACACATAATACAATAGGATAGGGCATTGTTTAATTGACTGATCTATACACACACACACACACACACACACACACACACACACACAGACACACACACATATATTAATAGAATATAATATATAATATATAATATGTATATATATAAACAAACAAACAAACAAACACCCATATGACAAAATCACATCTACGGATATAGCAGAAAGAGACGGGAACAAAATCCGTAACAATATGTAGCTACTTTGCTATAAATATAATACATGATGGTTAAGGATATATAATACATCCTCATTAAAACATTTCACTATTTTAATCTACATAAATGATTAAGCACCAGTGTTTGCTGTCATAGATATTTTAAGATACAAAATACCAGTTCATTTCGAAATGACTGTAATTGCTGTTATTGTTAATATGTGTAAGCGGAGAAAGCATCTTTAAGAATTTTTGTTACGAAAATTTGTTTAACAGCAAATGTATTTCTTAGCTCATACATTCGGGGCCAGTTTATTGTTTTTTATGGCATAAAATGAAAAAATACTAAGGTTGCTTGCTTATTCATCTATTTATTGACTAATGTAATCAGTTCAGTACATTTCAGCAACCTGTCATGTTTTATTTAACCTTTTAGCTATTTAGCTCACAGCACACGTACTAATATACAATGTCTTTATCTTTATTACCCTTATCAGGTCAGTACAGCCAAAAGCTCTCTGCAAATATAAAACTATTTTTTTTAAAAACATATGTCAATATTCAAATAACAGCGAAAGAACTTGATATGGTACGCTTTGGTAAGGCCTACATTTCGTATACAGCTATATTTTTTTCATTTTCAGTTCGTCATATAGCCTATCTGTAAAAAGAAACAGAGAAAAGCTAGTTGCGTCTTTTGTGCCGAAACTCTTGAGTAAAAATTTATTTGACATGTAATCCTCTCTAATCTACACAGCTGCGCGCGCGCCCGGCAGGCACTGGACAGCCTGATGTTTCCATCTCTCTCCCTCTCTCTCCCTCTCTCTCTTCTCTCGCTCTCTCTTCGCTCTCTCTCTCTCTCTCTCTCGCTCTCCCGGTAGCGCTTTGCTTTTGCACTTTGCCGTCCCGTCGAGTGATCCCAAGCATCCCGCAAGATGACCATCAACACCCTGGCTAAAGGAGGGTGTCATCGGGAGCAAATGGCATGCTTTCGAAAGGTAAGACTGCTTGATCACGTTCTCTTTGGTTGTATTTATTTATTGTCACAGAATATCCTGGAAATCCAGCGCTGAACAAATCCAACACATTTCATTAGATTAAAGAAGAAAAACAAATTAATGTAAAAATATTATTATTATTATTATTATTATTGTTGTTGTTGTTGTTATTATTCGTGTAGTGGTCCAATTCTTGTTGCCCAGCTGCATGTTTACGTGTGTGTGTGTGTGTGTGTGTGTGTGTGTGTGTGTGTGTGTG